CTTTTCTGAAGAAGGGTCTAGGTCCGAAACGTCAGCCTTCCTGCTCCTCTGCTGCTGCTTGGCCTGCTGTGTTCATCCAGCTCTACACCTTGGTATCTCACTTAATGTAACAAGTTTAGTTCTGAAGGTAGAATGATTCAAGGTAATGTAGCATAATTTTAGTGGGGATCTGAGGTTTACATATATAAATCTTTGTCACTGGCAGCAAAACTTGAGGACCCTAGGTTCTATTAATGGAGATGAGGAGTGATGTCAAGGCTTTGTAGTGGGAGTGGTGAAGATTTACTACAGTTGCACTAGGAATCATGGGTCTTCATTTATTGGATGAACTAGAGAAGTTAGGATTTCTGTCCTTAAGAGAAAAGAGGCTAAAAGAAATTTTGATGGATTAAATAAGGAGACACTGTTTCTGAAGCAAATAGGGTCAGGAAGTAGAAGATATCAAAAGGGAATGGACAGATTGGATAGTGCTTTCCAAGATCTGGCAGTAATGCAATGAACCAAATGACACACCCCTCTCCCCCTTCTAGCTTCTAAAGCCTCAACTATTTGACCTGTTACTAGTAATATTAGCTGTATTGAATTAATGCTAGGTTATTCTTTCTTATCCTAATTTGCGTCTGGGTAAGTGCTGTTAGTTTCTAAACTCCTTAATGTGCCTGCTAGATAAAACCCTATGTGAATATCTTGATTCCTGTACTATTAACACTCCTGCTTAGGAGAGAGCTTTGCATGCCTTTGATAATGCTCTTCCAAGAGTTTGAAATTCAAATGTTTGGACATTGTGCAGGGTCAAAACTCTCGTAGCATGTTGTATCCATCAGTGATGGTCGGTCAGTGATAGCATGCCTGCTTGTGAATCACACAGCTCTGGGTTCAAGTCTCACTCCAGAGACCTGAGCACAAAATTCAAGGCTGATACTTCATTGCTGGAAGAGTGCTGGGTTTTGTTTTTCAAAAGAACCATCAGGACATTGCTTTCTTTCTAGTCAATGTGAAAGACTCTATGGCACTGTTCAAAAAGGAACGGTGAAGTTATCCTTCTTGTCCCTCAGTCAGTATTACAAGAAATCCATATTACCAGGGCTTATTGTCACATTGCTTACATTGCCATGTTTCCTATTTAAAACAGTGATCATACTTCACATGCACTTCAAGGCTTGTATAGTCTTTAGAGATGCTTAAGTGATTTTGAAAAGCACGATGTAAACGCAAGGTACTTTTTTGTTCATTTCCCTTCTTGATGTTTGCTACATTCTTTTTGTGTTTTCAGCAAATTTCAAGGTTCTCCTTGCAATGACCAAACCCAAATCATCTCTATACAGAGAACGAAAGTGAGCCTGCATTGATGCCTGGGACACATGATTTTCACCTTTACAAATCTGAGCTGAACCTATTAATCCTGCTTCCAGTATATGTTGTCCACCTTTCTGGCCTTGTTGTCATGTTTCTTTCTCCTCCAGACACCAAAATTGATCGAAAAAGTATCTTCGTCGGATGGTGTATCGAATACTTTGTGAACGTGCACCATACCCATTTCATTTCCTTTATCCAGTTACCACTTCTCAAAGCTCTCAAGTTTGCCTCACATAAATTGCCTTTAAAAACATCACACTCGATATCCAAGGATAACCTAGGCAAGTTATGACAAGTAGATATCCAAATCTGGTTGTTTAGAGTACAGTTAAAATTTGCTGCTGCTGCTGTTGCTACTGTAGAATATAAATCTCAGCAGGTGAAGGGAGGCAGGTTCTCACATGATACTAGCATTAGTTTTGAGCCAGGAAGAGCAGGAATATCATGCCATATCTGAAGGGAATCTTTGGAACCACTTGTCCAATCATGGCATGTGTTCCTCCACGCTCCCAATAAATGTCCTTCTGTGATCCTGCACCACCCCCCTTCCCCGCCCACCCCCCCACCACCTTCTCCAGCTCCATTACCTATTCTCGTGTCCCTATGCCAACCACTCAACCTTCTAATGCTGTAGTGTCCTTCATGTACCAATCACATGCCCCTCATCCATCTCCACCACCAATTCCCCTCCCTCCATTCCACAATGACCTCCCTTCCCCTGCACCCCCACCATTCAGTTTGACCTTTCTGGTTGCCAAACCCCAACACTGTCTTGACTAATATTTATGTCTCACCCAACATTTCTGAAGCAGAATTCCTGGTTGTTAACTGATTGTGGGAACTTGCTCCGCACGTATTGGCTGCTTTATTTTCCAGATTACAACAGTGATTACACTTCACAAGTGCATAATTGACTGCAAAATGCTTTGGGAGACTAGCAGGTGCTAAGTGAATGCAGATCTTTCTTTTGTTCCTGTCTCCTCCATGTTGATCACATTCATTATTGTCATTCGGTAGAACAGAAGTTGTACATTGCGGGGAGAAAAGGTCACATTTTGTTGAATCTTTCTGTCTTGCACTAATCAGACAATTTGCTAGAAATAGCTACGTAAAACGACAACAGTATTTATGTTGTATGAGAGGAGAGTGCTGACTGGTTAACAAGTGGTCTGTAGTTTCTTGAGGCACTGACATGGGGAATGCACCACTTCATGAAAACTGACAATTAACAGCTAAGCTTAGTTTAAATTGTAAACCAGGCATGTTGACTCTGCTCAATGCTTTCCCATGAGAAAGGAACCAGAAAATATCTGTCACATATTATCTTTAATCCAGTTTGTCTTTCGATAGCTGAATTCACCCTCAGATGTTCTGGCGCATCTCAAAAATATCAGCAAATATTTTCCTTTTTTAATCTTTTTTTAGTGGCCTATAGTTCACAGTGAGAATTAAACTTTTCTTTTGAATTCATATGTATCCATATGGATAGAATCATTTACATATATTGCTGCCCATATCCCTTCTCCTCTTTCTAGCCTAAAAATCTTAAAATATTAGTATTAGGTTCCCATTCTCCTCCTCACCCAAGAAGTGGTTCTGATATTGCTGTTGTGTTATATTCCTTCATGCATCAAGCTTCTGACTTCCACCGTTTTATTGAAGAAATACTTATGCTGACTAATCTGAGGAATTTGAGATAAATTGGCAGGCACACAGCACAGTTTTGGGACATTTCCTTGTAAATTGAGCATTTGGGTCAAAATGAATTCCAAAGACTGAAAACCTGAATTATGAGGACAAGTTGCATAGTTTTGGTTTATGTTCTGTTGAATATAGAAGGTTATGGTTTGATCTAATTTGTGCTTGAAGTAGTGAGAGGAGTTGGTAGAATAGAAAGAAGGCACCATTTCCTGTGTAGGGGAGTCCAGAACACGGTGGACGTGGGCAGGGATGGAGAGAACTAAATTAAAATGAAGCCATTCAGATGAGGCGTTAAGAGGCGCTTCTTCACAAGAACTATTGTGAATATCTGGGATAGTAGGAACTGCAGATGCTGGAGAATCTGAGATAACAAGGTGTTGAGCTGGATGAACACAGCAGGCCAAGCAGCATCAGCTTTCCTGCTCCTCTGATGCTGCTTGGCCTGCTGTGTTCATCCAGCTGTACCCCTTGTTATCTGTCAATATCTGGAACTCTTTCCTCTAAAATTAAAAACTGAGGGTCATGGTTCTTGAGAGGGAAGGCTACCAAGGGTTACAGAGCCAAGACAGGTAAGTGGAGTTGAAGACACAGATCAACCATGATGATCTAATTTTAACAGCAGAGTCTCAGTCTTTGTGTTCCTATTCTTCTAAGAACATTAGGTATATTCTTACATTGATGCAGACTTTTTATTCTTCACAGTAACAGAATTGAACTCATTGCCTTTTATTCCTCACAGAAAATGCGCTTTACCAAAGAATGTTTCCTAACTGTACTGAATTTCATTTTACTCCACAGGTGGGATTACTCATGATACCTTCCAAAAAGAACTCATGTGCTTTGACCCTGACACAGACAAATGGACCCAAAGAGCTCCGATGACCACTGTTCGGGGCCTGCATTGCATGTGCACGGTGGGAGATCGGCTTTATGTCATTGGAGGCAACCACTTCAGAGGAACCAGTGATTATGATGATGTCTTGAGCTGTGAATTCTACACACCTGCCCTGGACCATTGGACCCCCATTGCAGCAATGCTGCGTGGCCAAAGTGATGTTGGTGTGGCTGTCTTTGAAAATAAGATCTACGTGGTGGGAGGGTATTCCTGGAATAACCGCTGCATGGTGGAGATAGTTCAGAAATATGACCCCGAGAAAGACGAATGGCAGAAGGTCTTTGATCTCCCTGAGTCCTTGGGAGGAATCCGAGCATGCACTCTCACAGTCTTTCCACCAGAAGAAAATACTGGCTCACCTTCCCGAGAATCACCTCTCTCTGCCCCTTAGAGAAAGAACAGGACTCCATAACTTCAGCTCTTACAAAGAACTCACTTGCACAGCATCATTATTAATATCAAAGATTTTCTGCCTATTTTGCTCGTTAGTAACTATATTAGGCAGTGACATGAGTATAATTTACAGAAACAGTGAATTGAGTTATTTGTGCAGTACTGTTGACATCGGTTGTCTGCCTGTTACAAGAGAGACATAATAATAATATATATGTCCAGGATTGAACTCTGAAAAAGTTTAGCGATTTTACTGTTATACAGTGTGATTTTTTTTGGGGGGATGCAATGCAGTGCTGAGGATCTCACTATGATTCATGGAAAACAGTTTATTAACTTACCATTGGGTGTATCTTCTTTACCATCAGCTTGAACATTTCAAAACATAGATTAATACTGTACATATGGGTGTGTGAAGACAGTCTGTCACGTGACTGTTTTCCATTAAATGTTGACCCAAGTTAATTGGTTGCCCCACCTATTTGAAATTGCGGGACACATCCTGTCTTTTGGTATGCTAAATTAAACAGCACTGATGGTTTGAATTCCCGTATGCAGTATTTGTGCCACTATCATTTCATTTCTGAATTCAGAGAGCGGACTGGTTTAATTCTGACCTAGGCAGCTCTAGCCTTTTCCTTTGTTTGTTGTACAAGTTATGATGGTGCTGCATCTCTCCTCTTCACATCTTGGTGAGACTGTTTAGCACATCAGGCGATGACTGGAGGAGCATTGCTGCAGCTCAGTGAACATGAATGATAACGCTCAACGTTTTCTGTTCAATAAAGATTTAACTGAAATCACCAGGCCTACATACTTCCCTATCTTGCATTCTTTTGCAAAACATACTTGATACAAATTGTGATATCTGTGTGCTTCTATCTTTCTGCATTTTCTTTTACCCCTAAGCCACTTAATGAAACTTAATTCCACAATGTGTGTTTTTGAAAGAATATTCTGACAGCTCCAACATTTTCTGTAAAATCTAAAACAGCAGGGCAGGCAGCTGTGAAGAGGTGTCAATGTTTTGGATATAAATCCAGGATAAAAGCTTTAGTATTTTTTGTTTCAACTTGAGATACTTCAGGTATTTACATTCACAATATTAAAAGTGTATTACAACGTGTTCTGATATTTTGCTCAGAGGAACTTAATATTTGTACCTTGTATATAATGAAAATGATTTTCTTTTCTTAATTCTGCTCTTTACTTTGTTTGCAATGCACATGCTTAGAATGGCTTGATTTAGTTGGCTTTCTCCTCGAGAAATGCAGGAGAAGCTGCTTAAACCCATTAAATCAGCTGTCTAAGGCCATTAAATCAGGTTTTATAGCACCATTTACTAACTTGGTGTTCTCTAAGCCGAGAATGCAGGCCACTAAATGACCAAAAGCTTCAAAGCTTTTGAGATGTGGCCGTTGAGAAATATCCTGGAAAGAGGGAGGAAGCAATGGGCATCTCCTAGGCAAAATGAAATAGATGACAGGCATGATAGCATTACTTGAAGCCACGTCAATGATAGAAGGAGCCGAGGCAAGACCAAGTATATCTTGGACAAAAGCATTGTGTAATGGGTGAATATCAGCTATCGGCCAATAAGGACAGTACGGTATATGTTAGAAGTGATTACTCTAATGACATTCAACTCTCTTGGAGTGGAAGGAACCTGATTTAAATAAACTTCTGCTTTCTAAGCAGAGCCCAGGGTGTCTGCAAGCTAATAGGATGTCATCAAGTTTCAGCTTTGACAGAACAGCAGTTATATCTGGTGTAATTGAATAAATCATGTGGGACATGTTCCAGAAAGAGATCACAGGCTTGTGCCAATGTCTACAGCAAGACCCTAAGTGTGTGCCAGTGTTCACAGAGACCATCTGAGCTTCTGACATTCAGCAGTGGGTCCCAGTCATATGTCACTTTAGTTGTGGAGGGGCCTCTCTGGGAGCGTGTTAATATTTGCAAGATATCTCTGGGAGCATCTCAGTATCTGCCTGGAGGTCTCTGGGAGTGTGTCGGTGTTTGCATTGGGCTCTCTGGGAATGTGTCAGTTGTTGCCTGGGGCACTCGAGCATGTCAGTGTTTGTAGGGGTCTCTCTAGGAGTGTGTCGGTACTTGCAGGAGGTCTCTGGGAGTGTCTCAGTATTTGCATTAAGCTATCTGGGAATGTGTCAGTAATTGCATTGGGCTCTTGGGGAGCGTCTCGCTTTTTGCATTGGGCTCTCGGGGAGCATCTCGCTATTTGCATTGGGCTCTCGGGGAGTGTCTCAGTATGTATTTATTGGGGATCCTGACAAACATGTTTATAAATAACCAGTTTATAAATTTCACAGGTAGCTGCCAATTTCAACTCCCCACCCAACCCCCCATTTAGTAATAAGCCGAGGCTCAAGACATTACAAAGCAATATCCAGGACCATTAAAGATTGCATAACTCGTACAATAAAGTTCAGTGTTAAAAAAATTGACCTCATACTGTCCTTGCTACTTATAGTTTCCATTGGGGTCGTCTTCTGTCCCCTCTCTCTGTTCCATTGTCTTACCTTGTTGGTGTGGCTAATGGGAATGAATATTTTGATTTATGCAAAAAATGCACTGGGAAAAAGAGAAGGCTTGTAAACTTGAGGAAAAAAAAAGTTTGAGACTTAAAAAAGCACTTCAGAATTCGGACTCAGCTGATGCCTGAATAGAGCATCTGTAGCATTTGGACATGGGTGTTGAATTTCAAGGAAAACCTCATGCAGGGGAGCAAGAGATTAATTGGATAGTTCTTCCAACATATAACCTATGGACTGAAATTTCCCATCTATGATGGAACTGCCACTAAAAAGAATTAAAGGAAATGTTTCACATTACTGACTTTCACTTTTCGGATGCTTTTTTTAAATTTATTCATGGAATGTGGGTGTCATGGCTGGCCAGTATCTATTGTCCAACCCTAACTGCCCTGGAGAAGATGGTGGTGAGCTGCTTTCTTGAACCACTGCAGCCCCGTGAGGTGCACCCACAATGTTATTAGGGAGGGAGTCCCAGGATTTTGACCCAGCAACAATGAAAGGTGTTGCCTTGAAAGGCTGCAGACCTTGGGATGGAGGCGCACCCAGATTGTTGTTAGGAAGCTAATTACAGGATTTTGATCAAGCAACAATGAAGGAATGGCGATTTCATTCCAAGTCAGAATGGTGAATGGCTTTGGGCTATTTGGGCCAATTAAAGGGCCACCGATCCCTCAAAGACTTGAATTAGCTTTCCTTGTCCACCTACCTGCTCGTCAGGACTCCTTTCCAGCTCCCAGTTTCTCTGATGCTAACATTCCATTCCAGGGCTTCAGAGGTGCTGTTTCCTCATCTGAGGATTCCCTTCCATTGTAATTGGCAGAATTCTCATTAATCTAATTTCCTATACTTTTGCTCTTGTCCATTTTCACCCCCTGTCAAAAAATGGCGTTCATTTCCCCCATTCTCACCATCAACCAAGGGGCAACACAGTGGTGAACACGGCTGCCTCACAGCACCAGTGACCCGGGTTCAATTCCAGTCTCAAGTGACGGTCTATATGGAGTTTGCACATTCTCCCTGTGTCTGCGTGGGTTTTCTCCGGGGCTGCGGTCTCCTCCCACAGTCTAAATGTGTGTGGGTTAGGTGGATTGGCTATGCTAAATTGCCCATAGTGTCTAGGGTGGGAAATGCAGGGATGGGTCTGAGTGGGATGCTGTCCGGAGGGTTGGTGTAGACTCAATGGGCCAAATGGCCTGCTTCCATACTGTGGGGATTCTATGAACTCCGCCAGCCGCCATGTTCAACAGATAATCTTGCACCATTTTTACCATCCTTAAGTGCAATGCCACCACCAAATACAACTTCCTTTTCCTTCACCTTTTCAGCATTCAAATCAGGATCTCCGTGATACCTACCTGACTGTTCCTTCACCTTTTAGCTCTTTCACCAGCACAATCCCACTTAAGTTCAGTAAAGGTCGTTGCTGCTCATTCATCGCTTTCCAAAGCAGCCCCCAAATCCTAAAACATTACTTATGGTAGGGAGTGATTTACACAGACTCCCTCCAATTAATTACACTTCCATTCATTGCTTACAATATGGTCTCTACATCGGGGATCTGCAGCACACATAGAGATGATCAATTTCTTCAGCACCTCCATTTCTGCATAAGTTTAGCCTTAAGCTTATGGTTGCTTGGAATCTGAATTCTCCACCCCACACTGGGACTAGCAACTAGTGCATTCAGTGAGGAATTTCTGATGTTAATATTGACTTACACAACTTTTGGCCTGAATGTCTAGCTCTCATTTTTTTTCTTTCTGAGCAGTAAGTGCTGGCAGTGTAGAGCCGGAGTGCCAGCATTTTCAATGGAAAATGAGACCTGCTATCCATTTTGCCAGGTTTTCATGTTTCTACTTTCCATCACAGCCATCCGCTTTGACAATTCATGGAATCTCTTGCATCCTGCTGTGCTACCATTTCTGTCAGCTGTCATCTTTCCCCACCTAATTACTCACCAACCAAAGGTGGAGGAATAGGCTATTTGCTTTTCTCATGGTTCTCCCACCATTTACTAAAATCAGAACTGATTTGCATCAAAACTCCATCTACACATCTTGGCTCCATTTCATTTTGCATCAATGTCAAACGATTTTAAGTCTCCAATATCAATTTATTAGTTGAACAAATTTTGCAGTGGAGATTTCCATATCTTTTGCATGAAAATCTTTTTTCTGACTTCTTTGCTCTCTGCATGGACTGATGCATGGAAAAACTCTCCTCCTTTCAAACACCTAAAAGTTTAAATCAAATCACCAGTGTACATTGTGTTCAACAAAATATATGCTTAGCTCAATTAATTTCTCTCTATTACCTAACCTTTGGTATCCAGTTCACATTCTGGTGAGTCTGTAGCTCCTGAGGGCTATTTATTTCCTCCTTAGGTGCAAGGCTAACATTGTACAATACTACAGACGTTATCTAACCCCAGGGGTTTACATAGCTTTATCAAAACTTCCTTATCTCCTAGATTCTGCATTCAGTATTCTGTTAGCATTTTAATTTTTTTTAGTTGTGTGAATGGGCCTTCACTGTTCTTCACCATTTTACTAATACAAGAGCTATACTTTGTCAGTCCAATTTAAATTATCTCACACACACACTTGTGTTGAAATGTACCTGTCACAGATGAGTCCTCTCAACCAGATCAATCTGTCTGTATCAGCAGGTTGTGGGTTCAAACGCTGCTCCATAAGTTGTACACAATCAATGTTCATACTTTAGTGCATATTTAGTGAATGTTTAACTGTCAAAGGTGTGTTGAGATGGAAAAGGTCCCATGGTATTTTTTCAAAGATCAGGGGAGTTATCCCTGGTTAGTATTTATCCTCAATTAAAATCACAAAAACGCACCATCTGATCATTGTCACATTGCTGTCTGTGGAGGTTGTGTATAAATTGGCTATGTTTCTGACATTATAAAGACACTTCAGTAGCTATAAATTGCTTTGAGATGAGTGGTGGTTATAGATTTTTCTATCATTGTATGCAAATCTTATGCTCCATTCTTTTTGTCACATGGCTGTCTGTTCTGGTACCAAACTCATTAATAATATAATGAATATGATGTGTTGAGCACCCAGCATAGATCCTTGTGGTGTGCCACTAGTCACTTTTTATCATTAAAACTATGGACTATTATTCTCATTCTCTACTTTTAGCAGCTCGGTAATCTAGTGACCAGGCTACTAATTTGTATTTAATTCCATGATGCTGTGTGGAGTCTGACTAAATACATCCACTAGTCCATATAAAGT